ATTCATTTAAAAGAGCACCGACCTCTTGGTGTAGAGTTCAAACAGGTCGTGACCTTCATGACACTTGTACGAACAGGCCAAACAGACTCCGGCTGCCTCTCCTCCCTTTGGTGTGCAGGTGCTGCAGGCGTACAGAGCCTGACGCTTCACATAACCCTGAAATACACACAACACACATATGACCACCGCACAATGTGCACACAAGTTGGACCTTATTTCAATTTCATGTTGACCTCACATCCTGTTACCTGTAGGTGGCGCTACACATGAGTCATCAATGTAGCAATACATTCCATGGAGTTTATGCATTTTCATGAATGTTGGACATCATACAAAAGAATCAAATATCACTTCCTGTGTCCACTATGTGGCGCTACACAACACCTGCTCATGACACATCAAGTGGAGGCCGCACTGTGTTTACAGGCGTGTTCTAGATGACACACTGACCACCACTGATCATTGCACAATGCATGCTGGTGAGATCTGTGTCCTGACTCACTCTGACATCACACATCAAGTGGACAATGATGACTTCATGACATCATGGCAGCTGCACTTTTTAAAACCAGGAGCTGCAGCTGCTCTCCATCAACTGCAAGACCCAAGGCATGATGGGAAACAGCTGGCTCTCAGCTGATCAAACGCCAGGTTCAGACTACATCACAGTTTTGTCCGGTCCGATGTTCACTATGTCACATTAGACGACTGTGGAGTCATAAAATCGTGCCGTGACTTGGCTGACAGACATGACGCACTACGAGTTGGTCCACGACCATCATCACTGGTCGTCTTTCACGACGCGTGTGATGTCATCAGGTTATTTTGTCCAAACTTTATTATTATTTCAGTCACTGTGTCTGTTCATATTCCAGCTGAACTCATGTTGTAGTAATGTAATAAGTGTCACCAGATGGGTGGAGCTACATTTGAAGTCCTGCATGCAAATTATGAGTCACAGAACTCTCCACAGGAAGTTCCTGCAAATGTTTTGCAATAAAAGCCTCTGTAGAAGATGAAGGATTCTCTCAGCTGACACTGTAAGAGGTGAAGGAGAGAAGTCGTGGAAGACAAAAAGAAAAATCAAACACAGACTTTCTGTCGGGACGTTGAGGCGAGCCAGACGTGGCGTCGGTTGTCGTTTACTATGACATGCTACACAAGATAAATGGATGGATTACTGCATATGACACTCATTATCACTCACAATCTGAGCCGATGTCACATGATGACTACGACATGTATTATTCAGTAGTATTCAGAAGAAGAAGTGTTCAGCAGCCCTGACTGTACCTGAGAGTGTGACGTTAGGCAGGCACACGTGATCACTCACCTGAGGATATGAGCAGTGATCAGAGTCACTTCCTGCCAACACGGCTGAAGCTTCTTCCTCCAGCTCCTCATCCTCCTCCAGAACATCGACCAGAGACACCGTCTGTTCCTCTGACATCATCAGCCGCTCTGCAACACTACGTCTGTTACCATAGAGACCAACAGAAACCAGCTGCTGTCACATCTGACAACTGTTTACTGATCGATGTTCTGATCAATAAACACAACAAAAACAGTCTGTTACTGTGATATGAGCCTGATGCTACTGCCTGTCTGCCTGTCTCTGCCTGTCTCTCTCTGCTTGTCTCTGAAGAGACGTGATGAGTTGATTGACATGACATGATTATCAAACAGTTTTACTCGGATCATCGATCAGTCTGATCAGCTGCCAACTGATCGGAAAACAATCGATAAACAGGTTTTAAATCAAGCTTCAGTTAGCATTAGTTAGCATCAGCTAGCGTCATTTGTGAACGTGCATCTCCTCCGCAGTGATGCTAACTTTGTTAGCTGCGTAATAAAACACAAACTTACCGAACAGGACCTGTTTACACCGTCTGACCCGGCTGTGCACGAGCCAATAACCCGATCAATAACAGCCAATAATCAGCTGCGCCTGATGTTCAGCTTATCGGATCTTTGTTATCAAACCGCTCGCTGCTGCTTGTTCTGATGACAACTTCCGCTTCATTTCCGCAGATCGTATTTGGCGGCATTAATCTGGGGTCAGAGGTCACCGAGTTTAAAAACAGAAATAAATACTTAATTAAATTATAAAAATCAGTCAATCGAAGAACCAGCTGTGTCTCTGTGGGCTGAGAAATTAACTTTAATGTTGGAAATAAACTTTAATGTGACGCATACTGCACTGGTTCTGTGGTACGTTCAGGTGTCCCACGGAAATCACGGGTAAAACCCTTCCCACCGTGAAATGATTAGCGTCATTGATCACAGATTAGATTTCTGTTTTATTTCATGTTTGTTAAAAACACACTCTGTGTTCCCACAGAGAGAGAAATGTATTAAAGATGGAGGGTCCTCTGCTACTGGACCACTGGGGTTTCCGAATAAATTAATCCCTTGGAGTGTTCAATTTACGAAGGGCACTGAACGCATCAGACGATTCTTGATGACGACAGCAGGAGGGGCTTGTAGTAAAGATGGCGGACGTGGCTGTGTTAGCAGAGCTGAGGTTCAGAGACGGACAGAGAGAGAAAATCAGCGTCAAAGTGGAAAACAATCTCCATTCTCTGATTAACGGGATTCAAGAGCTGAACACGAACGTGTCGCGACTCCTCAGCGAGCTGGTGGAGCGGGAAAAATCCGGCGGAGACTGCGCAGAAGGTGAGCTAGCTCTCTGCTAACCGCTAACATTACAGTGGAATACAGGCGGTTACCTGTCAGAGGTAAACAGACAGGCTGTTACCTGTCAGAGGTAAACAACCAGGCGGTTACCTGTCAGAGGTAAACAACCAGGCTGTTACCTGTCAGAGGTAAACAACCAGGCGGTTACCTGTCAGAGGTAAACAGACAGGCTGTTACCTGTCAGAGGTAAACAACCAGGCGGTTACCTGTCAGAGGTAAACAACCAGGCTGTTACCTGTCAGAGGTAAACAACCAGGCGGTTACCTGTCAGAGGTAAACAGACAGGCTGTTACCTGTCAGAGGTAAACAACCAGGCGGTTACCTGTCAGAGGTAAACAACCAGGCTGTTACCTGTCAGAGGTAAACAACCAGGCGGTTACCTGTCAGAGGTAAACAGACAGGCTGTTACCTGTCAGAGGTAAACAACCAGGCGGTTACCTGTCAGAGGTAAACAACCAGGCTGTTACCTGTCAGAGGTAAACAACCAGGCGGTTACCTGTCAGAGGTAAACAACCAGGCTGTTACCTGTCAGAGGTAAACAACCAGGCGGTTACCTGTCAGAGGTAAACAACCAGGCTGTTACCTGTCAGAGGTAAACAACCAGGCGGTTACCTGTCAGAGGTAAACAACCAGGCTGTTACCTGTCAGAGGTAAACAACCAGGCGGTTACCTGTCAGAGGTAAACAACCAGGCTGTTACCTGTCAGAGGTAAACAACCAGGCGGTTACCTGTCAGAGGTAAACAACCAGGCTGTTACCTGTCAGAGGTAAACAACCAGGCGGTTACCTGTCAGAGGTAAACAACCAGGCTGTTACCTGTCAGAGGTAAACAACCAGGCGGTTACCTGTCAGAGGTAAACAACCAGGCTGTTACCTGTCAGAGGTAAACAACCAGGCGGTTACCTGTCAGAGGTAAACAACCAGGCTGTTACCTGTCAGAGGTAAACAACCAGGCGGTTACCTGTCAGAGGTAAACAACCAGGCTGTTACCTGTCAGAGGTAAACAACCAGGCGGTTACCTGTCAGAGGTAAACAACCAGGCTGTTACCTGTCAGAGGTAAACAACCAGGCGGTTACCTGTCAGAGGTAAACAACCAGGCTGTTACCTGTCAGAGGTAAACAACCAGGCTGTTACCTGTCAGAGGTAAACAACCAGGCTGTTACCTGTCAGAGGTAAACAACCAGGCTGTTACCTGTCAGAGGTAAACAACCAGGCTGTTACCTGTCAGAGGTAAACAACCAGGCTGTTACCTGTCAGAGGTAAACAACCAGGCTGTTACCTGTCAGAGGTAAACAACCAGGCTGTTACCTGTCAGAGGTAAACAACCAGGCTGTTACCTGTCAGAGGTAAACAACCAGGCTGTTACCTGTCAGAGGTAAACAACCAGGCTGTTACCTGTCAGAGGTAAACAACCAGGCTGTTACCTGTCAGAGGTAAACAACCAGGCTGTTACCTGTCAGAGGTAAACAACCAGGCTGTTACCTGTCAGAGGTAAACAACCAGGCTGTTACCTGTCAGAGGTAAACAACCAGGCTGTTACCTGTCAGCTCTGTGACACAACAGTAGTTTTTCTGATGCATGCTTTACCTGCTGCAGGTGAGGAAGAGGACGAGGACAGTGATGAAGGATACGAGGAGCCAGAGGAGCCCCAAAACTCTCAACCACAACCTCCAGCCAAAAGATTCAAGACCTGAAACACCTGTGGACAAACGAGGACACACATGACACACAGGGACACCTGCAACACCTGAGGACACTTGAAACAGCTGGGGACACGTGGAGACTGTGTGACAGGATGATGTTTTGTTTTTTTCCTGTTTGAAGCAAAGACGATGATGTGAGCTGATCAGTCACATGATCCAGGTGTGTCTGACTCCATGTTTACACTCAGGTGAAAAGACAAAAAATAAAATGTCTCCTTTTTTCTCTACTCAATCAATCAGTCATCAATCAGTTATTGATCGTGGGTCATCCAATATTTTAACATGTCCGAACACGGAGCTCATGTCTGCCCAGTCATGGTCACCCTGCAGGTGAGGACAGGTGAGGGGATCAATTTAACAGCAACACAAACACCAACATCATTATGATGTCATCATAATATTATGTTAATATATTATTGTGAAACACATATTTTGCTCACATGTACGTGCTGTTACAGACACACACGCTATAATTCAAATCCAGAATGTTGAACAGATGAAATCAATAAGGTGTCAATGGTTTCACTAAATTCTTATTGACAGACGTTGGCAGGAGAGACGAGTGAGGGGTCAGACAGTGAACACACACACACACACAGATGATCAGAGATATTCCTTTAATTAAACATTCTTAACGTTCATGTTCAGATGTTTCATTATTTTAGTCTCCCGTGTGTCTCAGACTGTTGAGTGGATTGTTCTCATGTCACACTGCTGACAGATCGTTTATGCTCCATCAATCAATAATTAATGGGATCAATACATCATCCATACATAATCTATACCAAAAGAAAACAAATCAACCAGTAATCACTATGATCAATAATCTATACATCCTCCAGACGGTAAGGAAAATCAATCAATAGTGACGATTACATGATTGATATTTTGTCAATACTGAAAATAAAATAAAATCAATAATCACCCAGTACGTCAGCGTGTGTGCCAGACTCCAGATTAAAGTCCTCTGTGTTCATTTATCTCTGCACCATGAACACGACATTAGACCAGTATGAGAGTCACTGTGGCTCCACCAAACACTCTGTATCTGTGACCCTGCTGTAACACTGAACACTGACCTGGCTTCATCTTCATCCTCTCTGTGCCACACTCCTCCTCCTCTGTCAGTTTTACACCTGTTGGTTTGTAGTTTTTTTATAACTTAAACATGAACATCAAAACTGATTTGACCTCAGTTCGCTGCAGCTGAGCTCTGCAGCCTCTCTGTGCCAGACTCCATTCATTTTTCTGTCAGTTTAATTCTCAGTCCGCCCCCTGAGCCCAGCGGCCGCTCACTGTGTGTCACTCTGTATTTCTGCCTCCTGCGTCTGTTCCTGAAGTCACTGATGATAAATACAGGTTTTTTTTTTCTTAGTAAAACAAATTACAAATCTTTATAAAAACTCTGCAGTATGTTTTTTTCATTTCATTGATATTGTAATAAAGTTATGACGGTTACCAGCGTGTCATGTGACTCATCTTGTGATTGGCTGGCAGCTGTCAGGTCAGTAGTTAAAGTTCCAGTCTAAATTCTTAACTGCATGTAACCATAGCAACAGCACTGATGATTCAGGTAACTATGGGCTAAAGTGACCACAGATATAAACTAAACATCCTCCAGCCAATCACAGCACAGCATCTGTGGAGTTACAATAATAAACTGACAGCTGCCTGACAGGCGACACTCAGGGCATAGTATTCGTTCTGAAAGACAATATTGAGGGCAGTCCTCGCGTTAGCTCCTGGCAGACAGAGCGAAGGGTTCAAATGTCACAGAACAGTTTGTTAATCTGTTTAAAGGCACACAGGAAGTGACATCACAAACAACACAAACAGTTCAGTTTGTAGTCAGAGGGACGGGCCTCTCTGATTGGTCGCCTCCTCTACGTGTCGATGAGTGGCTGACCCCTCTGACTGGCCGGTTTGCGGGTGGTGTGGCGGCTGCAGAGCAAGGCGAGGCAGACAGGAAGGACGCAGTATCCAACTGCTCGAGGGTCGGCTCTTGTACAGGAGAACAGGAAGAGGAAGAGCTGCAGGTACGGCAGCAGGAAGACTGACGCCCATATCCAGAAAGGAAGTGGCGGCAGACGAGCGCTGACGCTCTGAGACCAGCTGACGGCGAGGGGTGGAGCCGACGGGTCGACCACGCCTCTCTGCACGTGCTCCAGACTGAAACTGTGAACCTCAAATACATAGTACACCGCCATGACGCTGAGCAGCAGGTAGAGAGCCACGCCCACCCATCCCATCCGCTGACGGAAGTTCATCATCCTCCATACTGTGAGGGGAAACAATCAATAATCAATATATATCAATATAATCAGTACAGATCAATATATCATCCTCCATACTATGAAAGAAAAACAATCCATAATCAATATCCTCCTGAGACCTGAACATTTGTTTGGTATTTATTTTGAACTTGTCCCAGCTACTGGGATCAACAGGACCTGGTGAGCACTTTATAATGAACAGCGTCTCAGTTTGTGGCTGTTGCTAACATTGGTCAAATTTGTTGCTGTATCAAACAGAAAACATTGTTAATCACAAATAAACAAGTTTCCACAGTAACGTGATCAGGGTTTGTCCTCGGCTGCAGACTGACTCGGCAGAGACGGCTGCCATCTTGTTTTCACATGGATTAGTGAATTGTGGTCTCACTACCACCAGATGGCACAAAGAAGCGTCCACGAGCGAGGACGACAGGTCAAAGTTCAGCAGAATGAAGTCTAAGGAGCAGCAAACCCAAAATGTGATGTCATCATATGACGACACAGGGATCAACACATCACCCTCTACACTGTCAGGGAACAACCAGTATCAATATTTATCAAAATATGGATCAATTAATCATCATTTTTACTGTAACTCAATAATCAATACATCACCATACACTTCAGAAAATAATCATGTCTGACCAAATCATCAACATTTCGTCAATACTGAAAAGGAAGAAATCAATAATCAAGCAGTTACACCTCTCTGTGCCAAACTCCAGCTGCATTTCTGCCAATTTAAGTCCTCTGTGTCCGTCCACCTCTCAGGACGGGACATGTGAGTGTCTCTGTCCACTCTAACACCTCTCAGGACGGGACATGTGAGTGTCTCTGTCCACTCTAACCAGACTCCATTCATCTTTCAGCCAATTCTAGCTCTGATAATAAAGCTCAACATCTATGACCCTGATTTAAACCTGAACACTGACCCAGGTTCACTGTAGTGTTTCCGACACATCTGAACCAGACTCCATTCATTTTTCAGCCAGTTTTAAACCTGCTGATCTGTAGTTTTATTTGTTGACCATATTCAAAGTGACTGGAGCTCAGTACCTGAGTCTGAACTCTACAGCCTCTCTGAACCAGACTCCATTCATCTTTCAGCCAGTTTAACGGTGAGTCAGATGAATGTCAGACTGTGTGATGTTCCTGCCGACCTCCATCTTGCTCTCTGTGTATTTACACACAGACAGTTAGCAGCCTGTTAGCAGCCTGTTAGCATCATGTTAGCAGCCTGTTAGCAGCATGCTAACCGGTTATCTGGTGTCTTTATCAGCTCTTACCTTCCTCCGCGCTGATTCTTTCAAATTAAAATTCTGCTGTCGGCTCGTCAGTCTGCTCTGTCGGTCCCGGAGCTCCAGGAAGTACAGTCTCCCCCTTGTTTTGTCACCTGACACCCATGGATGACGTCATTAATAGGGCCGATCCTCCGGCGCCATCTGGTGTTCAAACAGCATGACTACAGGTTCATGTTGCTGTGAGTCACAGCGAGGCATCGGAGGAGCAGGTCACAGGTCACAGGTCAGGTAGAGACGTTTGTCACTGTCTGATCTTTAACTGAGCCTCCAGGTAGGAAATCATTCATCCAGCAGCTCGTTAATTAACTGTTAATAATGATGTTATAAAGGTGAAGGTCACAGTGCTGTCCTGTTGCCTCCAGAGACACCAGGAACACGTTCAATCGTACAACAGTGCACACCGTTCTGCCACGGTCACTGACAGTGTGACACAAACTGTGAGGTACATTTTTCTCTCTCAGGTGTTCGGCTGCTGACAGGTGCAGTGTGGAGGTCAGGTGTGGATCACCGATCCAATGATCCACACCTGACCTGTTTGGTAGCGTTTCACTTTCTAAGCACCTGGAAATAAAACGGATTGAATTACCAAATCAAAAAACTGTAGGAAAGGAGCAGGTCGGGTCCTGACTGGTTTCGTCCTGTTTCACAGAGCATGAGGGAAACTCTCACCTGTGTTTGTCTCTGTTTCCATGGAGACGTGTTGAAGGTGACTCTCAGGTGCGTGTCAGATAAAATCAGATTATCACAAACAAACAGAGCTGTTCACACAATCCCATAATAATCATTAACTACAGTACTATTGTTAATAATAATAATAATATCTTCATGTCTTTTCCACAGTCAGAGGACGATTTATAGTTTTTAAATAATAGTTAGTTTTTAATAATTTCAGAAAACATTTTATACATAAAGGAGTCAACTTGTGGCTCCGCCCACTCTGTTTGTTTAGCCAATGACATCGGAGGAAAAAGAAAAACACCCTCAGTCTATAAACAGTCGCTCTGCTGCAGGAACACAGACCGACAACACCGAGGGTAGTCACCTGAACCTGGTCCCTGAGAGTCTGGGTTTGTTTCATTGTTTGTTTTTGCTTTTGTGGTCAAGGTGGTCCTGGTCTCTGTGTAGCTAGTTCCAGTGGTCCTGGTCTCTGTGGTCCTGGTCCTGCTGGTCCTGGTCTCTGTGGTCCTGGTCCTGGTGGTCCTGGTGTTGGTGCTCAGTGAGGACATGGAGCGACGTCAGAGTCTGGAGGATCAGCTCAGGTGTCCCGTCTGTCTGGACGTCTTCACCGAACCACTGATGTTACAGTGTGGACACTCCTACTGCAGGTACGTTGGACGGACAGGACACACCTGTCCCACCTCTGCTCCACCTGACCTCACCTGTCCTGAACTTCCTGTCCTGAACTTCCTGTCCAGGTGTTGTGTGCGCTCCATGACGATGGACCTGCTGGGACAGTTGCAGTGTCCCGTGTGTCGCTGTGCTGTGGACGGAGACAGTCCTCCCCCCAATGTCAGCCTGGCTCGAATCATTGAGGCTCTGCAGGTAACGACACCTGTGATCAGCTCACCTGGCGAGATCTCATGATAGGTCGTTGTCTCCGAGCTTTAACGAGACAAACATCCACTGAATATTTTAATTTGTGTTTTCAGTAGAAACCTTTATTTAAAAGTTTTTTCAAGTTTTTATTGACACAGTTTTCCTTCACTCTGACAGGAAGTGAGTGTTTCAGGTGGCGCTCAGCCGGAGTCGTGTCCTCAGCATCACAACCCGCTGAGCCTTTATTGCGAGGACGAACGGATGGTGATCTGCGGCCTCTGTGGAAGCATCGGCGCGCACCGTGGACACAAAATCACACCTGTGAGCTCCGTCTACAGCCGCATGAAGGTTTGTAAATAAAACAGCACCGTGAGCTCCGTCGAGTCAAAGATGGTTTACATTTCTAAAGAGGATTGATATGTGATTGTTATCTCTCACAACATGTATCAATAAAACATGGAGCGATGTTTGTGTTCATCATCAGGCAATCGGATGTTCTCCACTAAAATGAGAGCTCAGAGTAACAGAACATTATATTTCTACATGAATTAACAAACGCTAAGTTGTTCCTTCAAGTTCCTAAGTTGTTATTCAGAGCACCGCCACTTTGCTCAGTGCTCTGAATAACCCAACAGTACATTCAGACAGCGCTCTGAATTTATAAACGGTCCATTTTGCTCTCTGACAAATGAGTATTTCTGAACGCACCCTCAGATACAAACATTGTAATGTTTGCTGTCAGACAGATGTGCTGATTGGCTGACAGGTGAGAACAGTTTGTTGACTCAGCGCTGATAAGCGTCCATTAGCTGACATCATATCAACACACAGAGATTAAATGTCTTTAATGTTCCACGCCGTCTTTCAACAACAACAAGGTCACATTGTTTCACAGCACATGCTCTAGTTTGGTGTTTACTTCCTGTTTGACTCTGGGTGGTCGTCATCGTGGGGCGCACATATAGTCAGCTGAAGCAAACGGCGGCTGTGAGAACTCGGAGGAAGTTACAGGACGACTCTGTCTGACCTGTTGAATCAATGATTCTGCTTTAACAACTAATGAATTTATTTTCCATGTGTGTCTGTCAGGAGGACATTTCCTGTCTCATCACAGAGTTCCAGCATCAGAAACGTAAAGTGGAGGATCAGATCTGTAAAATGGCGTACAACAAGTCCAGGATCACCGTGAGTAACGTCTGCATGTTGGTGATGTGTCGTTCCTCGCCATGTTTCTGTTTCCTGAACACAGTTTGGTTCTCCTCACTCTGGGAGACGTTCACAGGTTCAACCTCGGCTGTTTACGTGTGACAGAAAAAAACGGGAGCTGAGAGAAAAGTTCAAACCCCGCCCACTTCTCACCACCACACAGCTGACCAATCAGTGAGTGAGGAGGGTGTGATGTCACACAGTCGATCGAACACAGACCCCCGAATCTGTTTCGAACTCTTCATTGTTTCACAAAATTTCACGTCTGAGAAAGTTCCCGTGTCACAACGTGTCACAACGTGTCACAACGTGTCACAACGTGTCACAGTGTTTCACGCTTCACATAATTTTGCTCTGTTTCAAACTGTCACAGCGGTTTGTGGAAACACGTTCAACAAGACTGAAGTTTAGATTGAACGCGCCCCTGACATGCTCAGCTGTACCCTGACTGACCAATCACAACGTCTGATGGATGACATCACGATGACCTCAGTGACCTGCTACTCTCTGTCCAATCAGAACGAGTCCGACGTGTTGAAGTGGGTGGTGAGGAAGGAGTTTGGCGAGCTGCGGCGCTGCCTGGAGGTGGAGGAGGCGGGGTTTATGCAGCAGGTGGAGACGTCGGCCGCCGTCCTCATCTCGTCCCTGCAGACCCAGACGGACCAGTTAAACCTGAACCTGAACCGGCTGCAGGAGGCCCAGACCACCCTGCAGGACCTGAGCAACGAGGGACACCTGGACTTCATCATGGTACCGATCACATGTCTGATTCTGATCAATATCATCAATGATATCACCATACTGTCATCTGTCATTAAAGACAAAATCAATCAGTGTTTGATTCTGAATAAAAACTGATTGACAGACCTGATCGATTATTGATCGGCTCTCAGATGTCTCTCTCTGTTTCTGTTTACAGAAGTACGGATCGATCGCGCCGAGGTAACAAACAAACAAATGTTGTTAATGAACTTGATTAGTGATCAGTTAGTGATAAATATTTAACTCTTTCTCTCATACTGTCTCCCCTCCTCTTCCTCCTCCTCCTCCTCCTCCTCTTCCTCCTCCTCCTCAGGTTCAGACAGATTCAGGAGCTCCAGCAGAAGGAGGAGAGAATCTTCAGCTCTCTGAACTTTAAAACTGGATTTAACCACAACGACATTAAACTCACCGTGTGGAAGAGACTGCAGAGGAAGATCCTGCCAGGTACACCTGTCTGTCTGTACACATGTCTGTCTGTACACCTGTCTGTACACCTGTACACCTGTCTGTCTGTACACCTGTCTGTCTCAACACCTGTCTGTACACCTGTCTGTCTGTACACCTGTCTGTCTCACCACCTGTCTGTAAACCTGTCTGTCTGTACACCTGTCTGTCTCAACACCTGTCTGAACACCTGTCTGTACACCTGTCTGTCTGTTTGTTTACCTGTTCTTCTCCTCCTTCTTGGTCCAGCCCTGGAGCCTCTGAAGCTGGACCCTCAGACGGCTCACCCGATGTTGGAGCTCCATCACGGGGACACGGTGGCGGGCTGTGGCGCTCTGCTGCGGAGGCTTCCTGATAATCCAGAGAGGTTCAGTTACAGTTACTGCGTCCTCGCCAACCGCGGCTTCTCCTCTGGGAAACACTACTGGGAGGTAAACACCGCTGTGACATCATCACCAAGACACCTGTTTGTTGTTGTGTGTTTACAGCAGAGTTATACGGTGTTGTGCTTCCTGTTTCCGTCCAGGTGGAGGTCGGGAACAAACCGAAGTGGCGTCTGGGTTTGATCAAAGGAACGACGAATCGTAAGGCCAAGCTGGGGAAGAGTCCAGAGAACGGGGTGTGGCTGATTGGACTGAAGGATGGGGTTTATGAGGCCTTCGCTACGCCCAGGGTGGTGCTGCCGTTGTCGTCTCCGCCCCGCAGGGTGGGCGTGTTCCTGGACTACGAGGGCAGAGTTCTGACCTTCTATAACAGCGACAGTCTGGACGAGCTGGGCTTCATCTACAGCTTCAGGCTGGAGGTCCAGGGGAAAGTCTACCCGCTGCTGGACGTCTGTTGGCACGACCGCGGACACAACAAACACCCGCTGGTCCTCCTCCAGCCTCACAGGGAGCTCCTCCTCCCCCTCCCCCCGCCACAGAAACACGACAAGTGTGACGCCTCAGAAACACCACAGGCCTGAACCCAAAATAAAGACCAGAGACAGAGTCCAGTTTACTGAGGTCAAACTGAAGTCTCAGTCAGAGCCGCAGGTTCAGTGATCAGGTGTGTTTAAGGATCAGGCTGAAAACTAAACAACATTTATGGTCCCTGAAATTTCTGTTAAGAGAAAAAAAAATAAAAGTGAACTCTAAACGTTCTCGACCATCCAGACCTGCTCTGTCCCAGCTGTGCTGAATGATCATCAGTCAGCAGGTAACGCCCCCTAAACACTGTGGGTGTGTTCAGAAACACTCAGCGTGTCAGAGCGCTCTCTGGCACAAACTGGACTGTAAATTCAGGGCGCTGTTGGAATGCACCAATTCGTTATTCAGAGCACCACACTCTCAGAGCACCAAGTGGAGTGAACGTGTTATGAACTTCACTGTTAATTCATGTAGAATAAAACGCTCCATTTCTTCACACAACAGGCCTCTCATGCTAGTGTAGAGCGTCAGACTGGATTGACAAACGTCTCCTAAATAAGGGCAGGTGTGGTGCTGTGTGCAAATACAGATATACACATTTCCAAGGATTAGAGAAATGAAACCAAAAAGTCTGGAAGAAGAAGAAGTTCAGCGGTGGTGAGATCAGTACTGCTGTTACAGGTGAATAAACAGACACGATAAAACATCTGTGAAGCTGTAAATGTGTCAGCAGCAGAGGAGGAAGTACTGACACCACACTGTAAAAATACTCTGTCACTGGTAACAGTCCTGCACTGAAAATGTTATTTTGGCAAAACGATGTAAGTACCATCAGTAAGAAGTTTTTAAGTATTAAAAGTAAAGGTACTCCGTGCAGAAAACTCTGAATCAACTGAATAAATTAAGGAATTAAAAGGAAAACACACCGTCGTCATCTTTGAGAAGATGTAACCATGAAATATTTTTGTATGAAAAATGACTTTAACGATTATCAGAGTAGTTGCTAATTAATTTTTTTTAATTAATCGACTAATCGTTTCAGCTGCAGTTTATTTTCATAATGTCTGTGTACAAAAACAAAATAACTGTAGTGGAGTAAAGGGTGAAATATCTCCTGCTGAGGTTTAGTGGGGAGAAGTAAGACGTTGCATTAGATTCAAATACTCATGTAAAGTAAAAGTACCTCATATTTGTACTTCAGTACAGCACTTGAGTAAAAGTACTTAGTTACATTCCAGCAGTGGCCAGCAGAGGGACGCACAGTAACTGAAACTACAGTAACTGAGATCAAGGGACAAATAAAGTCGTATCTCTGACTCCTCTCACGTTATTTGAAGACAGTCGGTTTTTACCGTCAATTGAAAGTCTTTTGTTCCTCGTCTGGTGACACAGCTCCAGAGACGAGTGCAGAGTCCACTCAAACATGTTGAGACGGTTAAAAGACAATGAAGAGTTGACTCAGTCATTTACAAATGATGATGATGATGATGATGATGATTAGTGAGAGATTCAACAGTTTCCATTTGACGTGTTTGTGTGAGGAGAGCATGTTTGTATTTGAATAAAGAGAAACTGTATTAAATGAAGAGACGCTGTTGTTCAGACATGAACTGATCTCACTGCTTATTAACAGTGAAGATGATCAATAAGAAGATCGATGATGCAGACGTGATTCAATCGGATTTATTCAGCACATTTAAAGACATCAAAGACCTCTGACCTTCAGTCAGCGTACAGAGACCAGTCTCACCAGTCTCACCAGTCCAACCAGCAGCTCAGTGGGGCAGCAGACATGAATATTCAAATCTCTGATGACTGAAAACCTGTCAGTCATATTTTAACATAATTCCAACCATCAAGACATCACAGAGGTCAGTGATGAAGACTCGTTATATTCCAGTGGTAAGTTTAACACAACACACGGTCCCAGCTGACATCGACCAGCTCCAACATGTTCAGCGGAGGAGAGCTCTGATGACAACTCTTCAGTCCTCCTCCTCCTCTTCCTCTTCTTCCTCCAGTAGTCCTCGGGGAGGTCAAATCATTTGGCAGTAAAACTTATGAAAATTTCAGAACTTAAACTGAGCGACACTCAGAGGGTTCAGTCACAGGTTCCTGGTTTGTTCACTATGTTCATGAACATATCTGACTATATAATGTCTGTGTGTGTCTGTGTGTGTCTGTGTGTGTCTGTTCCACGTGTTTCTCCTCACTGACTTGGTCAATCCATGTGAAATTTGGCACAGTGGTAGAGGGTCATGGGAGGATGCCAATGAAGCAATATTACATCAATTGGCCAAAGGGGGGCGCTATAGCAACCAAATGAAATAACAAACTTTGAATGGGCATATCTCATGCCCCGTATGTGGTAGAGACATGAAACTTTGCACAGAGATGCCTCTCCTCATGAGGAACACATTTGCCTCAAGAACCCATAACTTCCGCTTATATAGATTTTCCGCCATTTTGAATTTTTTGAAAAACACTTCAAATGGATCTCTTCCTAGGAAGTTTGAGCGATCTGCATGAAACTGGGTGAACATAATCTAGGGACCAATATCTAAAGTTCCCTCTTGGCAAAAGTTGGAAAACTTACTAAAACTGAGCTTCTATAAGGCAATGAATATTGCGGAGGGCGTGGCTCATCACATAAAGGTGTATAACATCTCAAGGGTTTCACCCATCACCACGCAACTTTGTAGGCATATGACCACACATAATCTGAGGGGACCCCTCCATTATTGACCCCATCAAACAAAATGGGGGCGCTAGAGAGCTCATTTCTTATCTAGGCCTAACCGCCATATGGATTTTTACTAAACTTGGTAGATATGTAGAACAGGACGCCTCAAGGTGACTGGAGAAATTTAACTCTAATTGGCAACTGGGTGGCGCTATAACAACAGAAAAATGCTTCAAAATGGCTAAAATGAGACCGATCACTGTGGCTCCCCCTGTGGACCAATGTTGGTGTTTTCTAATGTTTGGTATGACTAAGTCATGGTATGGTATGCTGTACATAATCACGGAAACTGTCAGTGTGTCATTCTGTCAGTCAGTCATTCTGTCTGTCCCACGTTTTTCTACTCACTGACGTGGTCAATCTATGTGAAACTGCACATAGGCATTGAGGATTGGCATAGGTAGAAGGTGACAAAGCTACCAATGGCTATGGATTAGTATATATAAATATAATGCAGCTGTTTGCAATTCAATGTTTGTTTACAGAGCTGCTGAAGACATCTGAACATCGTGCACCTGAAGGTGAAGCAGTTTTAATGTCGCTGTACATTATGTAACAATAAAGGGTTTCTATTCCCTTCCACACTCGACACATCAGGCCAACAGGAAGTGAATAAATCCTTCACAATAAATGGACGAAGAACATCAGGAGCAACAGATCTTCAAACCTCACATCTGGAACAGCAGAGGGCGACACTGAAACACAACAAGGGAAGAGGAAGAGGAGGAACTTTAATCTTTATCAAAACGGGTTTTATTCGTAATATTCATATTGTAAATTCAGTGTTTGTCAGAGTTTCACTAAAAGAAAAAACTAAAAATATGAGAAGAAATTAAAAATACATCTGAAGACAAACTCTGTGTTTTTGTTTCTGTTTGACAAAACCGGAGCACCTGAAGTAAACCCACGCTGACACAGAAGATTACATTTAGCTTGTCTACAATAAACTGATATAGACCCCAGAAGTTGCTCTAGACTTTTTCGTTCGTCATTTTGACCGACAGGGTCATAAGAATCCGGTCATAATCTATTTTTCGTTCTTAATAAATCCAACAAACAAGTTATAAAGTGTGCATTAATAAGGACATGAATGAAAAGATGAACAGACATCCACACACCCGTGCCATCAGGCGTAACGCGTCCGGTGTGTCCAGGGTGTTATGTAGTTATGTCTGTAGGCTTGGTGACACAAAATTAAAATTGTAATGAAGTGATTATGGTATTGAAAAATGTGTTCGGTTATACGCTGTTGTGTTATTTTAAATTATAAACACAGTAGCCTATTTTCTCCTCACGTTCCTCAGTGCGTGCTGTTATTACTTTATTTTGAAAATTGGCCGGATTCTCTCGTCTTTTCTGTGTCCGACTTCCTGTTTGGTACGATCTGCTTTATCCAGCTTGACAGAAGCGCTCGCGGCTCCCGTGAAAAATAGACCAGACGCCGAACTGAAGCGCTGCCTCCACGGGCGCTCCGCTCTGCTCAGTGGCCTGTGTGGACAGTCAGATACGTTAACATGGGCGCTGACTGAAAACTGCCTCCGCTGCTGGGCGCTGCGCTTCAGTTCCGCGTCCAGTGTGTCCAGGGCGTTATGTCAACAACGCTACATGAAGTAGATGAATGACTTTTTCTCTGCAGTGTGAAAACGGCAGCCACTTAAACCACTGACTGTGCACTCTGCCGCCAAGTGGGCAGGGGTGGTAATTGCAACCAGTCAATGACCAAGAATATCCGGTTAACGCAACCCCTGATAGACCCTGTCAGGGCCGACATCACAATGACTTTACGATGACATCATGTTATCAGCTGGAGGTGCAGCTGCCTCTCCCCCACAGGGCTGTAGGCTCCATAGGAGTGTTAAAATGTGTTTGTCTTGTTGTGTTATTGGGAGCCAGAATAGAAGGAGTCATGGCTCAAAACCAGCCGCCACTGCCCGTCAACAAAAACAAAGACAACTATGGTTAAATGTGATAAGACCAAAGGACTGGACGGAGGCCATCATCAAAAATGCTCACATGTGCAGCGCACACTTCATATCAGGTTAGGGAAAAAGTATTTCCTGTTGTAGGGATGAATAAGGTTATGTGTATTAAGGGTTATCATGTCCACCTCATCAGAAACTGGGGAGGGATTAAGAGGAATATTGGATTTCTCTGCAACGCTAACTTTTTAGCACATTAGCTAACGTTAGCTTCCATAGCAAAACAAACAAGTGTGGTCCTCCTTTGTAAGATTGGCTTCCTGTGACATCATCCATCCACTGAGTGAGAGCATACGGGTCGGCCAGTCTGGTCCCGTTGGTCAGTGTTTACTTATTCAAGTAACACTGGCGGTCCCGGAGAGTGAGTGACCTGACATGGTGCGTTGGTAAATTCAGTCTGACGCTCTACACTAAAATGAGAGCCCTGTTGGTGGAAGAAACGCAGCGTTATATTTCTACATGAATGAACCAACGGTTAAGTTAATCACACATTCACTCCGCTCGGCGCTCTGCTGCTCCGTCTCCACAGACAGAGTGTCCAGAGTGCGCTCTGCCACTCTGAGAGTGCGCTGCTCTGGATAACCCAACGCTACATTCAGACAGCGCTCCCAATTTATCAACGCTCCAGTTTGTGTCAGAGTGCGCTCCCACACTCACAATGAGTGTTTCTGAACGCACCACTCACATCATCTTCCTCCATCGTCTAAAACAAGACAACACAACTTGTTAGCTAGCGCTAGCTAATGTCTGTGGAGAACTGTTTTGCCTCCAGCTAAGCCCCGCCCACCTACAAACATCACACTGTTCACTAACAGTAAAAAGGTCTTTTATCCTTCACTGATCCCCAGAGGAATAAAAGGTGTTTTCAATATGAACATTTTACAACTTCCAATTCCTGTGTGTGTTTACCTGCAAAGGTGAGCTCTGTAAGAGGAGGAGGAAGAGAAGGAGGATGACGACGACGAGGAGGGGGAGTAGGAGGAGGAGGAGGTGGTGGAGGAGGAAACTGGATGTAAGGACAACACCTGCAGCTCATCTCCATGGAGACACCTGGACACACCCCCAAACTCACCTGCAGACAGACAAGTAACAAAAACAAATTTTAAATCTGATTAAAGTGACTGGATGATTGAAACTGTCCTGGTCTGAATGAGGACAAAGGCTCCACATGTTTCTGTGATCTGTCTGCTTCACCTTTTCTCTCACAGCCTGTGTGTAAAGATACATTCAACCATTTTCATTCTCTTACCCGGGGAAGAGTCGTGGAGGCAGCAGGCTGAGCAAAGTCCTCCAGACGTCCCTCTCTCAACACTCTCCAGCTCCTCCTGGAGGACCCCGAGGTGTTCCCAGACCAGATGAGATCTATAATTCCTCCAGTGTGTTCTGGGTCTGCCCCGGGGCCTCCTACCAGCTGGACCAGGAGGATCCTGATCAGATGTTGAACCACCTCAACATGAAGGAGCAGCGGCTCTACTCCGAGCTCCCTCCAGATGTCTGACTCCTCCCCCTATCTCTAAGGCTGAGCCCAGACACCCTACAGAGGAAACTCATTTCAGACGCTTGTATCTGTGACCTCATTCTTTCAGTCACTACCCAGAGCTCATGACCATAGGTGAGGGTTGGGACG